AACACGTGTAATGGCCAGTGGCGAATGTAAAAAGAGAACATGAGAGAGGGAAGGGTGGGGGAAGTTTTTGGCTTCTCATCTTGAGTAGTCATCCTCCATGACGAGCTTCAGCATTTTGAAGCTACAACTGACGCCCAAAATACAACCTCTATTACCTTTGTTGTACATGTGGCTAGTAGGAAGGTACTAATAGGATGACGTTTATTATTCTGTAACCATGGGTTATCTTGGGAATCACTCTGAAATGCTGAAAATACAGTAGTTATTATTTTTTTTTTAATATAAAGTGTTTTCCTCTCTAATTTATGTTTGGCTAACTTTCATTTTCTCCATAGAGTTCAACTGAGTACCTTGTAATGGCTTCACTGTCGAAAATTTTCGCCGCAACAGCGACATATCCGTATCAAGTGGTTAGAGCAGGACTTCAGGTTAGAATGGGAGATTCATTAGCAAATTGTTAACCTTTTGAAATCGATTTTGTTTTACTTTTGTATGCTATTATCTTGAAATAAACTTGTAGTTTAAGGTTATTTTTAGTTTTCAGGCCGGTAATCTCATCAGTTGGTTTACTGGACCCTAGGTTGATGTGGCCTGTGCTCGAGCCTCCAGCCTCAGCTAGGTCACTGTGCTGGTTCCTTGGGAAAAGATTCGTTAGCCCCACACATCCCCCCTCCCAGTGGTTCAAATGGGCACTAACAAAAGGCTAGGGAAACCCCACAATGTGGATAAATATCAATTCTCATGAAGGAGAGAAGCTTTCACCCTCTTTCACTCTTTTCATTCCTCCTAAGAATCAAGGATCCAAGATGGTCATGGGAACGCATGGCGTAAAGTTTTTGATTCTGTGCCTATAAAATTAGCTAAAACCAATTAAGAATGGCTGCCTGTTAGGATCGAGAATCGTCCGTCAACGACCATTTTGGTGAATTGCTCATATTTTGCCCAATGATACCCTTTGGTAAACTATTTTCAAAAATCAAGTTTAAAAGTTCCGACGATTATTAAATTTTTAGAAATTGACGAAAATTTGAAAACGCGGTTTAAGTGCGGTTTTCCGCCTATCAAATTGTCCAAAATTCACTGCAAAAACCAAGCTCCGTTGAAGGCTTAAAATGAATCCAATTGACACCAAACTTCACACGATATAAGAAAAAGCCTTCCCATCCATTTTCACTATGTTAATTTTTCTGTACACATTGATACTGAGAATTTTTAAGTCTTCTTAGCAACACCCTCAAAGAGCGCTTAATATGACAGCAAAAATAGGTTAAATTTAACGCGATAAAAGTGTACCTGGTACCTCATTTTTCAATTTTTAACTTGATATTCGTAATATAATGATACTATTTATTTCCTGAGTAAACTTTGATGCTTTGAATCGGACCGCTTCCTTCGAAAATACCACAAATGTTTGTGTCCAGAGCGAGCAAAATGATGTGTGTTGTGTAAACAAACGCTAATCTTATCATTCCTTCCCTGGTGGAAAAGGTTTTAAAATAAACTTTAATTCTGGAAATGTTTGACTTGTATTCCACAAAATATTGAGTTATAGTGAAGTCGTACATTCAGAGTTGTGTGAGAGCTGAGAGAAAATAAAATCATCGTCGAAAATGTTCTTACAGTCATTTCATCGATCACCATTACAAGTATTACGATTACGAAAATTGTGACAATTGATCAGTCTGTTGAATGACTTTTAAACATTTCATCTGCAAGGGCTTTGTTTTAGTTTGTTTTAGATATATATGTATATATAAATCAAGAATTCCAGCGAATACAGAAGGAGAACAGCATTCTTTACAAGCAGTTCAGTGTATTAACGCGAATTGTTCCTATTTATCATAATTAACCGACATCCGGTCCCAACAAACACTGGCCGCACCACATGAGACCCTAAATGGGCTGTCATCATGAAATATACCAAAGACTGAAAACAAAAACTTTACTCAAGGTCTGATAACTACACGATAACACTATTATACTTCAATCTCAGATGAATTTTCATTGAGCTTCCAACATCTCGCACCATCTAGACCAAGATGCTGTAATTCAAACACAATTTTCTCTCGTGGTAAAGCCTGTCACGTCATCACTGCCCACGAAGCTCTTGCGCAAATGGTTGAAATTTCGTAACAGATCTAAGGAAAGTTATTTCACGGACGAGTCTTGAGCTTTCATACGTGCTCTCATCAAGTTATTATTTCTTGTCATTTTATGGCTCTCTGTAGCTATATAACGCTAGTTGGTAAGGTGACCCCTTGCGGGCGATCTCCTGATTATCCTGGTCAGGTAGAATGCATTACACTCGAGGATTGCACGAAAGATGTAACTGGACATCTATCGACTCTTGGACTGAGTGCAGATGAAGGTTCTAGAACTGAAATGAAGCTGCTATTAGCCAGAGCCGGTAAATATTGATTTTGTGTTTTCAGGTAACTTTATTGTGCTTATGAATGAGTGCTGCAACAGATTTAATTGGTGTTTTATTTTTGTTTACAGGTGTTTTCTCATTTGAGCAAAAACATCTTACCCTGACTATTTGCCCACGCCATAGGGCAGACTTTGGCATACGTTGGAGGACTAGGAAAACCCTTTGTGAAATTCCCAAGGATCTAGCGACACATAAGTCCTCAAGTGCCAAAGGAAGCAACCGTGTGGATAGCCGAAAATCGATGTATATTTTTTGCAACACCAACACCTTAGTTCCAGTTGGGTCGCGTAAATTGAATTGCTTCTGTTGATAAATGTTCTCATGAAATTGCTTTTTCTCACGTTTATTTGTAATACCTTACACAAAAAAAAGCACTATAAGTTTCAACTTTCTTAAGCTAGCAAATTTTATATTTGTGAGGAAACTGCAATTTATATTGCCAACGTTTTTTTCTTGTCTGAGTAGCTGATAATCCATTGATTGATAACAGATTGATTACTTTATATCTAGAAATAGTAATTGATATGAGTTATTTACTTTGCTTTTTTTTTTAATAAAAGCAATTTGTTGGCGATGCGACGAGTTTATCTGCAGGCAAGTTGCAGATGAACAGACGCCGGCGGAGGGCGCTAGAGCAAGTACTGTGTCTACCCCTAAATAGCCTCGAGTGGTGCAGATACCTGAACAACAGACAATGGTAAGCTTCAAATATGAATTGATGATCTCAATCTTGTTTTTTAAAAGGAAAAGAGTCATTTTTAGAAGAGCATAGAAATTGGAAAAAAATCGAGGAAAAAAAAACACGTGACAAACACAAACACAGCGTGACAAACACAGTTGTTAATCTGGGACAAGGCTCCTTCGTTGACCAGTAAAACTCGCTGCTTTTCGGTCACTTTTTTTATATGAGGGGTGGGGAAGGAGAGCGGTGCTATGCCGCACTTTGGTAGGCTAATTCCTGTCCCACATTTGTTTGTTTTCTGGATGTCCCGAAACAGTACCTGGTGCTGCTGAGATTTTTTATTACCCGAAACTGATTCCCTACAAACATATACAAAGAAATCGGTTTTAGAGATTTGATGCTTATAGAGCAAACCTTTTCGTAGGTTCATGAGATGGAAACAGACTGTCCAGGAGAGGAATCAAGTGCTGGCAGTGAGTCATCTTCTGATGGTCTAGAGACGGACTTGATGTTTCTGGAAATATCATCCCAGGAGTTGAAGGATGACGAGACGTTTCTCAGTCCCGATACTGCAAGCCTCGTCTCCTCAACGAGTGAAGAGAGCATCACCTCAAAGCCAAATTCCCGTGAAAAGTTGAACGAGTATCTGGTGTCCAAAAACATTGAACCTGTCTCTCAACCTTGGGTTGAGTGGGAAAAAACCAGTGACAGCACTAAGCTTCGGTATACTAGACGAACCGCAGATTTTTTTCTTCTGTGCTCCACGACCTAACACCCAGTTGTGCAGGTTCTCTTTGGCAAGCAGTCGTCTCTTATCCTGCCATGAACGAAGCACTCGGGCTGGACGAACTCTCCGAAACTTCCAAATGCTACCTCCAGGTCTTAGCTGAGGCATATGACAAAGCCCATGGGTGGGACACAAGACGGCAAATTCTTTCGATGATGAGTGGTGTTTCCAATTATAATGATATCTCGAGATTCATACCTGGCTTAAGTAGATATCGTTTTACCATAGCTAATCTGCATCGTCTTCAGCACGGAAGCGGCGCTTCAGTGACCCCAGCCTTCATCAAAGATAAGAGTCGACCCAAGACAACTGGATCACTTTTTATCTTATATAACAAGCCCCCATTTGGTGCAAGATCTGCCATTTGGACAAAAACACTGAAGCTCTCCTCTGGACAACTGGTTGAAGTACCCAATGTTATTTGCACCATGATACCGCAAAGGATAGTGCGTCAGTATACCCAGTACTGCAAAGAGACTGGATTTGAGGCGTTCAGCGAGCGGACGATGCTGCGTGTTCTAAATGAATGCAAGGCCTCGACCAGAAAGTCTCTCAAGGCCTTGACTATTTTGCAGCAGACGGGGCGCGTGCGTTCGATGAACTAGAAGGCTTGGTTCTTCAATTGGGGGAGCTTGGTCGTGGAAAGGAGTGGCAAGTGCGATACGTGAAATCATTAAAGGTCGCCAAATTCTACCTGAAGGGTGATTTCAAGGTAAGCAACCGAAAGTGTCAAGAATTCCAAGAAAATTGGATTATGTTTTTCAAGCAGGGTTATCTTATTTCACAAATGGATGGAAGCATGGCACGAAAAAACCGTTCCGATGACAGGTCCACCCTGACTGGGAAATATACGTCGGTTTTGCTCTTGGTATTCGTTTTTATCAGTATAAATTATGCTTGTAATAGATTTTGTCTTCTCAGATTATTGAGGTTATTCGATTTAGATAACATGAAGCATACATATTGCAAATATTTTTTGTCGTTAATGTTGCAGTAACATGGTAATCCATGCTTTGTGTCAAGCTGTGTTTCCTATTTTCACTCAGGTTCACGTGAGCTCTTCTTCTCCCGTTGCAAGTCATTGCAGTGTATTTGCTCTGAGTGACACCGAAGATTCTGACCTGCGGCAGCAATGCAAACACAACCATGATGAGCTCTGTGACCAATGTGAAAGCTTGCATTCGACCCTGAACGACATATCTACTGCGGTCGATGAAGCATCTTTTACCACAGAAGAAGACAAAGACGAAGCTTTGTTTCTCGTTAGCTCTGCTACGCTTGCCATCAAGTCATGGAAGTGCCATTTGCTGAGGTCGACCCATCAAGATCAGGCTCGTTTGGACGTCATCGATGCCCTTAATTCTGGAACAGTATTCATTGTAAATGACTGGGCCATGAAGTTCTTGCCTCAGAGATACCGCGAGTCACAGACAGACTGGTTTGGTAAGCGGGGTATTTCTTGGCACATATCTGTGGTATACAGACGAATGGAGGGTGTGCTACAGTGGCAAGCCTTTATCCATGTGATTCAGTCCTGTACCCAAGGAAGTTCTGCTGTTACCGCGATTATGCAACATGTTCTAGCCACATTGAAGCAAGAGTATCCTGAAATCAACAAGGCCTACTTCAGGCAAGATAACGCCAGCTGCTACCACTCCTCCCGCACGTTAACGAAGTGCCAAGAAATTTCAACGAACACCGGGTGAAGATAGTCCGCGTTGATTTCAGCGACCCGCAAGGCGGGAAAGGGGCTGCAGATAGACTAGCTGCGAGCTGTAAAAGCCACATTAGAGCATTTATTAATGAAGGCCATGATGTCTGCACCGCCAGCGACCTGAAGGAAGCTCTGCTATCCCATGGCGGTTTGGAAGGTGTACGAGTGGTTTCTCTGGATACCATCGAAGAAACGCCAGACGATGTGCAAACCATAACAGGAATCACCAAGTTGAACAACTTTGAGTTTAGTTCAGTGGGCTCTATTTCCTGTTGGCGTGCATATTCCGTCGGCCAAGGGAAAGTGATCAAAATTGAAAAATCCTCTTCTGGTGAGTTAATGGTTCTTGAATGAGCCCAGGCCTTTCTGCTAGTTTATGATAGTCTGTTCTGTAAGGTTTCTATTAATAAGGGAAAAATTTTATCCGCAATGCATCATAAAAGACTGTGAGAGATTATTCAGCGTTAATTGATTTCCGGTTGATTTTTTGCGATAAGTGACAGATGATTGAACAATAGGATCATATTATATATTTAAAATGAGAGAGACCAGAGCGAAGGACAGAGAACGGTGAGAGAGAGCGGGAGATTAAGTTGATTTTATAAAATAAAACGTGAAGTTTCGGAACATAGCAGATTCTTTAGTCTCATTTCCGACACAGTGGCACCTCCGACGGGACGCGCGAAGCATGGAGGAACTAACCAAAGAAGCAGAGGCTAAATTGCAGATGTTGCTGTACACTAATGGAAAAACACGTGGCGTTGTGGAAAAGGGAAACCTAGGAGCGGTCGCGCGACATCGCGACAACCTACAAGCATTAGTAAAAGAAGTAGACGCGCTTAAACTAAAGGTTGAACAGACCATGTTCAAGGCCGGGAAAAGTGCAGAAGACGTTGGAAGTTGGAGCAGTAGCATTGAAGAACCGATCGCCGAAGCTGACGAAGAAGTTTCGCGACTAGAAAAATGGCTCGTGGAGACGAATGGAGAGATCGAACATCGAAAGCACAAGGACGAAGAGGAAAGGAAAGCCCGTGCTCGTGAAGAGGAGCTTAAATTCGAAAGAGAGCAAATGGAGATGAAGCTAGAATTCGAACGTCATCTGGAAGAGACCAAGGCAAAACAGCAACCTGTTGAGAAGGCCAATCAGATTGAACAAAGGACAACAAAGCTACCGAAACTACAGATCACAAAGTTTAATGGGACGTATGAAGCATGGCTGCCGTTCTGGAACAAATTTCAAGCTGAAATTGATAAAGCAAACCTTGCATCTGTGACCAAGTTTGCATACCTAAAAGAGCTGGTAGATCCAAAGGTTCGAGCGGAGATAGACGGACTGCCTTTCACAACAGAGGGCTACGAAAGAGCAAAGAATATCCTCATCGGCGAATATGGGAAAACGAGCGAGATCGTGAATGCGTACGTCCAGAACATCGCGAATTTGTCTGTCATTACAGGAACACAACCTGCGCCTGTCCACGAATTTTACAAGAAGCTCGTGTACAATGTGCAATCTTTGGAGACACTGGGCAAATTGAAAGACGTCACTGGAAATGTAAGGAGTGTGCTCGACAAAGTAAAGGGTGTAAAAGCAGACCTAGTGAGAGGACAAGTGGACTGGCAGGACTGGGACTTCCCACAGTTGATAAAAGCTTTGAAAAGTTGGAAGGAAATCAACCCCATTGGGAGCGGCGCGGATAATGCGGGGAAGCAAGGTGCTAAATTCCGCGATCGCGAGAAAACATTTCACGCAAACGAAACTACGCCAACACAAAGAGGGTGCGTCTACTGTGACGCAACTGACCACAGAGCTGTGAATTGCGACAAGTTTGTGACAGTTGGAGACCGCAGGAAACAATTAGGACTGAAACAGCTTTGTTTTAACTGCACCGGAAGTCGACACCGTGCTTCTGAGTGCAAATGCCGTTCTGGCTGCCAGATCTGCAGTCGAAGACATCATACGTCGATCTGTGACAAACGTACATCGCGAGACCAGCTGATGACCACAACGAGCGCAGAAAGGAAAGGAGTGGTGTATCCTATGGTAACAGTTGACGTGAACGGTGTTAAATGCCGAGCATTGTTGGATACAGGAGCCGGAAGTTCCTACGCTTCATCAACGCTTCTGAACTGTTTACATTTGCGCCCTATCCGTCAACAATTCAAGCGCATTGAAATGATGTTTGGTACTTCAAACAAAGCGATAGACATCTATGGCCTACAAATTCGAAGCGTTGATGGTAAATTCACCTTAGAAGCCGAAGTAAACAAAGTCGACCGCAATGAGTTGTTGACATTGGAAAACCCAAAATGCGCAGAAATCGTAGCTCAGTTTTCTCACTTGAAGGGCGTAACCACAAATGATAACGACGAGAAAGCGATGTTGCCTGTTCATCTGATCCTTGGAACAAACGAGTACGCTAAGATCAAAACAGGGGCAAGACCAAGAGTTGGGCGCTCGGGAGAACCAGTAGCAGAATACACGAAGTTCGGCTGGACGATCTTGTCACCTGGAACAGAGCTGGATCTCAGCAACATGTTGTTAACGCAGACCTCCGCAATTGATTACGAAGAATTGTGCAAGTTAGACGTCTTGGGGTTGAAGGACAATCCAAGTGGAGACCAGGAAACCGTTTACGAAGAATTCAAAGAGCAACTAACTAGGAGTTCAGAAGGCTGGTACGAGACGAACTTGCCCTGGAAAGGAAATCACCCCCCCCCCCTACCGAACAATCACACTGGAAGTTTAAAACGTCTCAAAAATCTCGTGCGGAAGTTAGAGATACAAGGCGAGCTGGAGAGGTACAACGACATTATCCAGACTCAACTGAGTCAAGGGATCGTAGAACACGCTGACGAGGTGGTCAAAGACGGAAAAGAGTTCTACATTCCTCATAAAGCGGTCGTGCGCGAGAATGCAGAATCTACAAAGATACGCATTGTTTATGATGCTTCTGCAAGAGCTAATGCAAGTGTCCCCTCACTCAACGAGTGCCTCGAAATCGGCCCTCCACTACAGAACCAGCTTTGGAACGTGCTGGTACGAAATAGGTTCTATCCCGTGGCAATAGCTGGCGACTTAAAACAAGCATTTTTGCAAATTCGCGTCCGAAGAGAAGACCGAGATGCCTTACGCTTTCATTGGATAAAGGATCTGGCAAGCAAACAAGTAGATACCTTGCGATTCACTCGAGTACTTTTTGGTTTGGCACCGTCTCCATTCCTCTTGGCCGCAGTTATCAAAGAACATCTACAGCGATACAAAATGGTGAACCCGGAATTAGTAGAGGAGATAGAGCGCAGTATGTACGTGGATGATTTAATCAGTGGTGGGGAGACAACAGAACAAGCGTTAGAAATCAAGATGACAGCCACGACCATCTTTGGTGAGGCGACTTTCAAGCTGCACAAGTGGCATTCCAACGATCGGGAACTGGAAGTTGAAACTGCGACTGTAGATGAAGAAAGTCAGAGTTACGCCAAACAACAACTGGGAACCAGAAAGGGCGAATCAAATCTGCTAGGAGTCCCCTGGGACAAAGAAAAGGACGAAATTCAAGTCAGCTTCCCGATTTCAACCGCTGAGCCGACAAAAAGAGGTATCCTTGGAAAAGTCGCAAAAATCTACGATCCACTCGGTCTGGCTTCACCCGTGACCCTCTCCGGAAAAATGCTCTACAGAGACGCCTGCGACACGAAGATCGCGTGGGATAGGCCCTTACCAAGTGACTTACAAGCCAAATGGAAGAAATGGGAGCAAGGACTTCCAGAGCACGTGAACGCGCCAAGAAATGTCGTCAAGCATTTAGGGAAGATATTATCAATCGACTTACACACATTCGGGGACGCAAGCGGGAAAGGAGTTGCAGCCGCGGTTTATGCAGTGGTGGAGCAACCATCAGGCACGAATCGAGGCCTCGTGACGGCAAAGTCGCGGCTCGCGAAGAAAGGACTCACGATTCCCCGATTAGAACTAGTGGCTGGACATATGGCTGCGAACCTAGTACAAAATGTGAAAGAAGTCCTGAAGGGTTTTCCCGTAAGAAGTGTCTATGGTTGGCTGGATAGCACAGTCGCACTGCATTGGATCCGTGGTAATGGCGAATACAAACAGTTCGTGGGAAATCGAGTGAGGAAGATCCAGGAAAAAGAAATAAACTGGAGGCATGTACCAACAGAGGAGAATCCAGCGGACGTGGGGAGTCGGGGAGGAGATGTTAGTAGATTGACAGCTCTTTGGTGGCAGGGACCAAGCTGGTTAGCAAAACCACAGGACTGGCCGCCAGACCTTGTAACGACATCTACTCAAGAATCAAAAGCGGAAGAAGCGAAACAAACTCGCGAGTTGTTTGCTCTAGCAGTAGAGAAAACAGAGAACAACGACGCCTTCGATGCGCTGCTGGAGAAGTACGAGCTGTGGCGTGTGTTGCGAGTGGGTGCTTGGATCTGGAGATTCCTCCACAACATAAGAACCGTCCATAAACAGAGAATCCTTGGTCCCCTTACCACTGAAGAAATACAGAAACAGACAACGTTCTGGATCAAGCGGTCTCAACAACAAGCAAAGTCGAGCCAGAAATTTGAAGAAGACCGTTTACAGTTGAATGTGCAAGGAAACCAAGAGGGAATATTAGAGTGTAGGGGAAGAATTCAAGGCCATTACCCCATCTTTCTGCCAGACTCCTCGCCCTTCACTCGCAAGTTAGTTCACCGATCACATGTCGACACACTGCACGGAGGAGTGGCCCTTACCATGACCAAAGTGCGAGAGCTATACTGGGTACCGCGTTTAAGGGCACTCGTAAAACAAGTTCTCAGAGCGTGTTCAGGCTGCAAGCGTTTTCAGGCCATGGCGCTGGCAACGCCGCCTCCCGGACTTCTACCCACTGACCGCACAGAGGGGAGCACCCCATTTGAGGTTATCGGAGTCGATTTTGCAGGGCCCATCAAGTACCGTATCAGAGCCAAAACAGAAGGAAAGGCCTATCTTGCATTGTACGCGTGCAGTCTTACCCGAGGATTATTCCTGGAAGTACTACCAAACCTGGCAACCAGTGAATTCCTAAGAAGTCTAAAACGGCTCATTGCGCGCCGTGGGCGTCCGAAGAAGATATATTCCGACAATGGCAAAACCTTTGTTGGCGCCGAGAAGTGGCTCAAACAAGTTATGCGTGACGAGAAGACACAAGATTACTTAGCACATGAGAACATCAAGTGGCAATTCAACCTCAGCCGTGCCGCTTGGTGGGGAGGACAGTTCGAGCGCCTCATCGCACTGGTAAAACAGCTTTAAACAAGACTATCGGATGCGGAATGTTGACCTGGACAGAGCTGTGTGAAGTGGTACTGGATGTGGAGATTGCTTTGAATAATCGCCCTTTATGTTACGTCGAAGACGACATACAGTTACCCGTGCTTACCCCTAACTCACTGCTATTTCTTCGATCAAACCAGCTACCAGAACTGGAACCACACCATCTAAGAGAATTTGATCTGCGTAGAAGAGCTAAATATTTGCGAAGGTGCAAGCAGGCTTTGTGGACCAGGTGGACTACCGAATATTTACGAGGGTTGAGAGAACGACACCGGATGAAACACAAAGGGTCAAACCACGCCCTTGGCCAAAGGAGAGGTAGTCATCATCAAGGACGAGGAACGAAATCGCAATAAATGGAAAATTGGAATCGTGGAAGATCTGATTTCGGGACGAGACGGAATAGTTCGAGCTGCCAAACTTCGAGCGGGGAAAGGAACACTTGAACGGGCGGTACAACACCTTTACCCACTGGAGCTGTCCTGCGATCGGGAGAATGTACAGGCTCCTCTACAGCTCAACCCCTTAGCCCCGACATTCAGGCCCAGGAGGGATGCAGCGGTAGCCGCTCGTTATCGCATTCAAGATGCGAACATTGATGCTGATTAGAGATATTTAGGAACACTGAACTGATATACTGGACTAACTTTCTGTTTCGTTCATTGAATTTCAAATTTTATCGAGCGCGCCATTCTAGTGTTTTTCTCTGTTGAGAAAAACAGGGGAGTGTGTGAGAGATTATTCAGCGTTAATTGATTTCCGGTTGATTTTTTGCGATAAGTGACAGATGATTGAACAATAGGATCATATTATATATTTAAAATGAGAGAGACCAGAGCGAAGGACAGAGAACGGTGAGAGAGAGCGGGAGATTAAGTTGATTTTATAAAATAAAACGTGAAGTTTCGGAACATAGCAGATTCTTTAGTCTCATTTCCGACAAGACTTTCCATAAGAGATTAAATGTTTACAAAACGCTGCTCAAACAAACAAAACACAAGAAAAAGGGGTGAGTATTTTAAACCCCTCTTACACGGTATTCTGTCGTGGGCTGCCTTTGAGGGCTACGCGTTGATGCAAGATAATTATTTCTTAGCTGTGTGGCTGTCATATTTATATTTCTCTTATATCTTTTGAAGGTCCTGGACAAGGGATTCTGCAGCCATCATTTTCTGCAGGAGATTTCCGTTCCTATAAAATTACCCCCCACAAATCGTCAGGGGAAGAAAATGTGTCTGAAGAGACAGCTTCCATAGAACGTGGTCAGGCAGCAGGGGTGTATTCATGTCCTCAAGACGGCTGCACTCGTGTTTTTCAAAGGCTTTCAGCCTTAGAAAAGCACTTGTCACTTGAAAAATGTACCAGGGTACCAGAAAAAAATTCTTTAATGGACTTGGCAAAAATTGGCTACAAATCGTATTTGGTGGAAGGTATGGGAAAGCTGCCATCGCTTCAAGCCCCTGTACGACAGGAAGATTCTCGTGTTTCTCTGAAAGAAGGATGGGCTCTTAGAGTAGTAAGGAAGGCTTACAGGTTCAGTGAAAAGCAAAAGTCGTACCTTTTATCTAAATTTCGAATAGGGCAGACGACAGGCCACAAGCTTGACGCAGAGGTAGTTGCTCGAGAAATGCGGCGTGCCCGGGGCACCGATGGTGCACGACTATTCCAGTCATCGGAATTCCTCACAACCACCCAGATCACCTCCTTCTTCTCAAGACAGAGTGCCTTAGTACGCCAGAGAGATCCTGATGAGGCTGATATCCGAGCAGCTCAAGAGGAGAGTAATTTTAGCGAAGCAAAGGAGACTGTCGCGTCAATACAACTTGACCATCCCCTGATCTACGATCAGTACGATCTTTGTGAAATGGCGCTAAATGACTCTTTGAAGATCTTGAAGCTACCCATGCTGCAGCACATGTGTGAAGACCTTGGCCTCGATATACCATCAAAGCCCATGCATAAAAAGGCCCCGTACTTGGCTCTACTGAAAGAGATTGTCAGCAAATGTACTTGCCAAAAGTCATCGTGATGCTGACTTTCTCTTTAGTTTAGCAGAATAGAAAAGTGAGGAAGAAACGAATTAACGGTGACTCGTTCCTAATCGTCAGTTACTAGTTATCTCATTTTTAAAGCTCGTAGAGTAATTAGAAGTTCTTTCGTTTTGTTCTGTTTTTCTTTTAATCATGCCAATATTGACCCTCACTTTCCTTTTCTGGTCTTCACATCGGTAATGAAGTTTACTCATCTGGTAGCTGACACATGCAAACTGACAGACGTGAGAGTATTCAACCTACATTTCTTTCCGCTCATTTTGAAGTGCGGGATTTCTTTCTAGAATTTAACGACATAATTATTTCATTTGCGGTTTCTACGCGGGTATGTTTCAGCACCCCCGACACGTTTCCAATGGCGTTACGTTGCGTGACATTGATAATCACTAGGATAACAAGAACTGTCGCCTTGCATTTAATTACTTTGAAGGTCAAAAGTCGCCTTTCCATGTATTTAAACCTACAGAAAATGAGTTCTCAAAGTAAAAGATAAAAAAAATCTAATTTATCAGCATGGAATCAAGTACTAATCTACTAAGTAGCTTCTCTCGAATGTATCTTTTTGCATTACTTGAATGTGAGTTGGTGCTAATGTAATATGTACTTCACTTGCAGATTTTTAAAAAAAAAAATATTTTGTATAACCTTTTCAAATATCGTACGGAATAATTTACTTTACATTTTCCGAGCTACAAACCGACACAGCAGAGGCCGGATTTAATTTGGAGATTTATCAACTCGATATGATTAAATTACCTTGTTGTTTGTTTACACACTTTGCATCATTTTGCTCGCTCAAGTCACAAACACTTCTGCCATTTTCGAAAGGAAGCAATGCGATTCCGAGCATCACACTTTCCACAATGAATGGAAAATAGCAATATTTCACGAATATGTTGTTGAAAATCTAAAATATGTGGTACCAGGTACATTTTTTTCGCGTGAAATATCACCCGTTTTTCGCTGCCATTTTACGCGGTCTGTGAGGATGTTCTTTCAAGGGCTTAAGTAATCCCAAAATCGATGTGCCCAAAAAAAATTACTCACTAGAATTGAATGAGAATAGCTGTCCTAATATCGTGTGAAGTTTGGTGTTGATTGATTCCATTTTCATCCTTAAACGGGGCTTGGTTTTTGCAGTTAATTTTTGACTGTGCGTCATGCGGAGCCTGAGCTCCGGAAGCCTGAAAACCGCGTTTTCAGATTTTCGCAAATTTATGAAAATTTAATAATCGCTGAAACTTAAAAACATGATTTTTGAAAATAGTTTATCAAAGGGTATCTTTGAGCAAAATATGAGCAATTCACCAAAATGGTGGTTGACGGACAATTCTCGATCCTGACAGGCAGCCATTCTTAAATATATCAGGAGCTGTCTCTAAGCAAGTCTGTTTTGTTAAATCGTTCAGTATTTACTGTTTCCTGCTGTCATTTATTGTTCATGAATTTTACTTTTCTAAAGAATCAGTACACGATGGTCGAATACAAAGGCGCGTTGGATGTGATTAGTAAGACTCTCAGGTAAGTTGGAACTTGATATGAGAACTTAAAGTTTTCGATACGTCACAGACTAGCTTTCCATCTCTAGTTTCAAACCCTCTACATTAAATAGAGGTACATGTTTTGCCCGTTTGAAACAAATTGACAAAGAACTGGACCAAAATTGGCGGAGAACTGAAACCAGCTTGTTTGAGTACTGGATCCAATTTTCGGATTCACTTACGGCTTAGTGGTAAAGTCCACATTTTCATGAAAGAAGGTATTCTTTTTCTGGCCTCTTCTTACGGCAGGTTCTTTTCAAAATCTTAGGCATGAAGGAGTAACAGGATTTTACAAAGGATTAATTCCCAGTGTCCTCAGGTAAGGAAGAATGTTAAAGATAAATTTGATGATGTAAGTAGATTTGCTAGTTAGTTTTATGTGTTAAACCGCAATGAATAATCTAGAATTGGCCAAGAGGGCTTAGTGGGCTCCCATCTTTAATTTTAGGTGGCGCTTCTTAAAGAAAAGGGTCTTAAGAGATGGGGTGTACCCCCATAAGGTGTTGAACTTATTTGCACATTCTAGTCTTTGAGAAACTGGGGAGAAGAGACTGGTGATAGATACATTAAGAGGCTACAAAATTCGGAGTAGGTGTCGTGTCATTGTTTTCGTCAGTTACTTGTTCGAATACTGTGAAATAATTAAGATACTTATCGTTATCACAAGTATTTGTGCGTTAGTGTAAGTTTTAGCGGTTTTCTGTTTTTTTTTTTCCAAATTTCGGAAATCTAGCAAAGAAGCGCTTTAGAAGAAACCCTGAAACCCTCTAATCTATGTAAGAACGTTCATTGTTGATTTTACTGTGTATTGTGTGTTTGATTGTTCTTGATTTTGGTTCTTTTCAGAGTAACGCCAGCACGTGCACTCACATTTGCGGTGTACGAAAACGTTATTCACTTCCTTCTGCCGAACAGATGACAACGACAGGATAAATAATACAATCCGGCAACTGGAAACGATGGGCAATATTACAGCATGTGGTTTTATTACCAGGCTTTATTCTGCAACAGTTCCGACGGATTCATTTACGGAAAAAAAAATGTTAACCGTGCGAAGTTAACTGCCCAGCGTGTTTACACATTTTATCGGTAACTTCATTTACCAGCGGAATGTGAATATGAATTTTTTCAGAGCAATTTTTGTACATCAATGCAAAAGGTATCCTTTGTCCCTTGTCCCATACGGGTATCAAATTTATGTACATCCCCTTAGCACTAACAAAGGCATGAACTACAAGAGATGCCTTTTTGCAATTTCCTTTTATTACTATTAACTTCATAATTCAAACATTACTTGTGAAAACTACTTGCGATTAATCAAGAAAAATGTTCAATATTAAGTTAAAAATTACCTTATTTTCCTTTTTCTGTTCCTTACGTTAAAATCTTTTTCAATAACTTTCTCCATTTGTTACTGAATCGTTGCGATGTAAAGTTAAACCCAGTTTTGATTTATGGCTCTGTTTTTACTTCACTGCAACATTTCCTTGTTGTTGTTGTTATTTTTCCCTGGTTATTGACATTAACTTCAGTAAAAAACGGTGAAAGCTACTCTTTCGCGATCGCTATTAGATGAGTGGTATCGAGAACCTACTCCGACCCATGGACTACACTGCCCTTAACGCTTACTCGTGTTCGTGTTATGAAACTCAGCTAAAAATAGTCCGTGTAAGTTAAATTTATTTACAAAGAGATACACAGTTTTTGTTAAATAATGAGATAATTTATTTACACCACTCAAGAAGCTGAGCCACAATTGACCCAGCTCATATCAATTTGCTTTGAAGAGTCTACCGACGATTTTTCTATATTTTGATACGTTGCCAAGAAACTCGCCTTGCTTTGCCTCATTTGCTTTGTGTTCAGGTCTCTTATTGTAAATTAGAGAGAAATGAACATCAAATGATTGGAAGACTAGTCTTAGTTAGAATATTGAAATATCAGGCAGTAGCCTTTGGGGGTTACGGTGAGAGTGGGTTTCTTTTCTGCGCTTACTATTTTTCATAGGATTCTTTGAATATGTTTGCATTATATAAAAGGAAAACGTCGCCGAGAGAAACTGTGATTTTGATTTCAAATCTAACATTCCTGTAAAATATTTATGGTGATGTACTTAAACGGTGTAAAAGTTGTTTACAACTTGTGTTTACCTATGCTGCTCTAAATACTTGTTTTAACACATTGCAGTTCTGAATACCTTTCTTTTAGCTTGTTAATGTTGTAGGCAAACATTAACCGTAGTAAAACAGGTCAACTTTTAAAATCTATAAAAGCATTTTAACAAATTTCGTCTTGACTGAATGAGGTGCCCGTGCTCTTAGTTAAATAAGCTTTTATAGTTACACTTTGAAGCCATTGCGTCAAGATCTTTAAATTGGATTCAAAATAAGCGTGAGATGTAAGCGATCCATTAATTTCAAATGAATTCTGGTCGATTCGTACACATTTAACACACGGTTACGCAGGCTAAACCATTGAATTTTGCTTACTGTGTTTCTGGAAATTGGTTCAATGTTTCAAAATACTGAGTCACTATTAATACGTTAACTTTATGTAATTTAATTTTATGTAAAAGGACATCAGATTTTGACTGTCATCGCTTTTTTTTCTACGCCTATAACGTAAGATAGCGCCTGTTTGTATCCCACGGACATACGCTAAAATAATCATGGTTTATAATTACAGCAATTGAAGGATGAAAAAAAAAAAAAAAAAATACATTAATAAAAGGCTCGAAAACCTTAAGCTTGAGAGTTTGTGTCTTGCAGATTTTACTGGAAGATTACTTAAAGATACTTGGGGCAACTCTCTTTGATGACAGAGGATATCTGATGAGAATTATCATTCTAATGAGATAAGTACCTGTTTGCCACCAAAGTTAAAATCTGATGATAATGTTTACGATAGAGAAGAAACGTTGAATACCTTACATGTCAAAACTTTGTATACATGTATCTACGGAGCGATTTGTGTGTTCTCTTACTACGCGAAGTATATTTGCTTCACATTCAGTCTGCACTACAGTAGCGTAAGGGACAACTATGTGGCTTTATAAGTTTGTAGATAAAGTAGGATCCACAGTTTTTTACAAAAATATCTTTTGTGTATCGGCAACTAGTAAAGCGATCACTAAAGCAGACCTTCCTGAAAACTTCACCATCTTCCACTCTAGGATGAGCACCACTCAACCAACCTGGCCAGTCTGTACCACATCTGAATGCTGGCACACGTGTTGTGGGCATTTTTGTTCCTGCAGCTCCCACAAAACGATACCATCCCTCGGGGAGTATGTGGTCACACAACGATTCATTTGGCGGTGTAACGTAACTGCTCTTTCTATTGGCATCACTCAGGTTTTGATAACTATAACATGGGTCGGCTAGTAAATGAAATAAACATTACAAAAAGGTTGTAGTAACAGATATAACATTTTTTGTTGACATTTTTCAAGTCAATCAGTTCGACAACAACTAGATGGGACTAATGTTTTACAAGAACAACTATGCGTTAAGTAAAATTTAAAGAAGAATTTGGATTGGACTGTGATGATACAAATAGGAACTAAAATGAAATGATAGCATTATATAGAGTTATGTGAACTCTTGCTTTAATCGCCCATCAAAGCCTGTAGTTGTTTGTACCTCAACTGGAAGCTACCAAACGCGTTTAAGACATTTTTGATCTTCAGTTCCCAAACAACGATACCAGCCCTGAGGTATTTGGTAGTAACACAATTAAGTCCCAGGAGTGTGCAATGACTCTCTGTCTACTAGCACCATCCAAAAATTTATAATCATAACGCGAATGAATGAGTTGCCAGTAATCGGATCCTTGCATTTGCACAAAGATTTCCTAAGCAATTACTTTAATTTCTCTTTTTTTTAGAGGGCACGGTAACGAATCCTGCAATCTGATTGGTTCTTTACCCGGTCAGTATTTTCCTATCTCTGCCCACGGGCCACGGTAACGCTTTCGTGAGTCGCCGAATACAGCTCAAATTTCGTTGCCATTTTTCATAAATATACCTCGTTTTTCCCGCTGGGCAGTATTTTTAAGCAAATACATCGGTCACTACCTCAATCCGACTTATGAATCCTCTCTTTTCTCTCTCTCTCAAATAACTGACAAAAAAATATCGGTTTCAGAATGAATTTGTATAGGCAATAGTGTCATTACGTTGGTTGACAAGCGGCCTAAAAACCGTCTGCAATTGACTGTAATCATTCACAAAAAGTACATAGAAAGTTAAAACGTGAGGTATTTGGTTACAGGTAAACTGAACAATGGAACTTTCATTCATTTAATGTCTGAATTTTCTCAAACAATTTGTTCGTAGTGAAAGAACGAGCGAAGTTTTAATTTCAGTTCGACAATAAATATACGCTCTCGGTGAGTCTTTCAAAGTCCGTTCAATTTGGACATTTGGACCATAAATTGCACAACAGAAACTGAAGGACTTTATTGAGAAAAGGCCGCGTGAAATCCCCTTGTGTCTCGTTGGAGTGTGCCGTTCGAATTTCGTTTTTGTGGAGGAAAGACCAGATTTACATACGCCGTTGCAGCAAACAAACGAGCAAACTCTCACAACTTCAAAATAAAAAATTTGAATTTACTCACAATTACTTTCCTGGCCGTTTACTTAATGAACAGAGGTAAATCTTCGTACATGAATGAATCGTCGATGAGAGTGAATAATACTTTCCATTATATCATTGATTGTTTTTGAAGAAAACATTGTCGCGACAGTCCTTGCCAAACTAGTTCCGTTGTTTTTCAAATATTCTTGCGCTTTTTTTGTTTTTCTTACGCGCTCTCTAATTGACAGGTGTCAGATTGTGACAGATACTTGTAAAAATAATGTTTCAAACTTTGTTTGGAAGCCTTTTAAATCACCTTTATTTACGCAAGTGAAAATGTTTCAGTGAAGCATCTCTCCTTAATTTGTATCACCTTTACTTTAACTACCATTTACTCGCTCAGAAATTGTTCAGTTTATGGAAGATCTCGCCGTATTTATAGCCCTAAATCATTCGGGTTCTTTCAGAATGTGTTTCGTTAAGTTAAAAAAAAAAAATGTTATTTACTGGCTAAGGGTCGGTCCGTATGGTGAAAAACTGTGACCGAGGTCTTGAAAATGCTGCCCGAGGCCGTAGGCCTCGGGCAGCATTTTCAAGGCCGATTGAATTGTTTGAGAAAATTCAGACATCAAATGAATGAAAGTTCCATTGTTCAGTTTACCTGTAACCAAATACCTCACGTTTTAACTTTCTATGTACTTTTTGTGAATGATTAAATTTTTCAAGGCCGAGGTCACAGTTTTTCACCATACGGACCGACCCTTAGCCGGTAAATAACATATATGTATCGCGATATTATTCAATGCCCAAGCACACCATTTCGATCTCCTGCTACTTCAAGGTAGCGTTGTAGCGCTCTTTTGTATTACCAAGCCAAGAAAAAAGCTAGAAGCTATAAGTAGACTTAACACACGTAAACAAAACTGAAAAGGCTAATATGTCTAAATTTCGAGACCAGAACACGATGTCAATTTCACAATAAACCGTGCGCTTGGTGAAAAGTCAATCGGCTCATTTTACTTCATATTTCATGGTTGTTCAAACAAAACTTACGCTTCCCTTGAATCAACATTACCCACTCCAATTATGATAAAGCAGCGGCAAAAAAAAGCGGTGATCTCTCTTCGTAAACGTTTCTTTGGACCTCGAAACAGCCTTTCGCCATACATTTATTTCTAGGGAGTTGTAATGTTTGCCCCGTGGCGTTCCCAGAAATCTTTGCGAAAACACAAGGATCCGATTGCTGGAAACTCATTCATCGGTTTGCATAAGTCAAATAAGGATCATAGCTGCTATTATTATTATTATTATTATTATTATTATTAGGGAATCTTTAAAGGTTTGGGATTCCTGAAAGTTTTTTAGTTCCACGGAGAGTTTCATGTCTGCATCATGTAAAAGTTCGTGTAAGGTTGTTAAATCATTTAAAACATAATCAAAAAATGATTCGTTTTTGTACACAAGGTAGCATAAAATTATGCTTCCTCGATGTGAATTTCGGAGGAAAGTCAACTCGTAGGAATTTACTGCTACTTTCAACGCGGGAAACAAAAAAAAAACTTGATCGCCTTCATGAAAAACCGCTGCTTATATTACGAGTTATGAGTGAACGCGGCTGAATGGTGCGGCGCTGGAGTCAATTATGTCATGAATATTTCGGAAAGAGATTAAATTCGCCTGTGCAGTTTTGTTCATTTCCAGCATATCCAGGGTGACATTCATATACATGTGATGCAAGGGTATTCATGCATGTTGCATTCACGTGATAGGAATGATTTCCTCTACACTCGTTAATAGAGCGGTTTAGCAAGAGGACGGGAACGTCATTTCAGAACTGCGTGCGCAGCAAAAATGCCGAGAAAAAACTGGGTCGAGAACACCGTCGCGTTGTGTTGAAAAGTGACTTAGCAGTCGTTTCAACGAACCGTCCACGTTATATTTGTTCTTGAATATCCTAACCTTGGCTCTTTCGGATCATTATCAGCCTTGAATTTTCGTTTTCATAGACCACTTGAAGGACAACGAAATTATCCTCTTTGAGAGTGTAACGACAAGCACAAACCGAGTATAGTTTACTACAAGTGAGTTGTTAATATGAATCCACATGGGCGATTAAACTTTGAAATTAGTTCATTTCAGCTAAGTCTCGAGTCTGCAGATTCATCTATCAAATTCTGAAGCCCACTAAATATTTTTTTCTATGATTTGTATCGCTGTCATTTCGTTTCGTGCTTCTAGATTTCAGCACTACTCGTTTTTCTTCATAATTTTGTAAAGTATAATTTTGAATTGAAATCGTCGCCGTTTTTTCCCTTGTTTACTGAATATTCTTCTCAATCATGACAGTACACCTCTTTTAAGCAGGAGTCATGGCGAAACATGTAGAGATCAGGCGACTCAACGATGGAGTTGTTTGAGTTCCCGTTTAACCATGAACGAATGAAATGCACTCAAACTAGTCACCAACGAAACGGTTAGACTGAGGAATCAGACTTCGTTCCTGTTTTATTTTGTTTTTTTTAATTTAATTTTTTTAACGAATAAAGTCGTTGAAGACTGAATCAAATTAATAGATTTAGAAAACCGTGCCGAAATCAAGTTGATTTTTATTTTCTTTCGTAGATGACTTTCTTGTCTAAGTTTTCAACGACGCTGATCAAAACTAAAGACATAAAAAAGTGCAGCCCAAGATATTCTCAAATTTTTTTATCTTTGACTTCAATTCTCAGAACAATTTTTTAATCACGGTTAAAACGACAATGACAACAAATACCACTGAATAATATGGCAGGTAACCTTTGTGTTGTTTCATTTTGATAAACTTCAACATGAAGCAAGTTTAATTTATTGATGAATTAATTCACGATAAAACTAACAGCACCCGTTCTTACAGTTTTCATATACGGTTTAAGAAATGTATCAAAGAAAAGCCCCAACGTTGCTTAAAGCCACGCTCAATTACAAAAGGTAACTAATCCCTAAAATCTTAGATCGCTTGCTAACGATCGTGTTTCCTTTCGGGAATCCAGAATTAATGTGGCGGTAAATTTTCACAAACTCACCGAATAAAACAAAGAAAGGAACCTGGTTATCCTGGAAATGAGTTCTGAAATCATTCCAAACAGCATTATCTCATTTATAAGTGCACAATTAACGCAAATCCTAGGCGTTTTGATCACGACGGGAAATCAGCGAAATGACGTCCTGAACTTGATGGGGAGAACGGCAACGCTAACACCGGAAGTCGAAATAGAGTCGTGTCCAGATTATCCGCGCGCTTTCCTGTTCTGAAATGACGTTCCCGTTCTCTTGCTAAACCACTCTAATATCTGAGAAACCGTAAATACATTTTGCACTTTACTTTTGTCGTCTAACGATTTGTAATTACTTTAATCATTTCAGATAATAAGAGAAAGCTTTCTCTTTCTTTGTCTTTAACGAGCTTGAAATTTGAAACGTGCAACTTAGATGTTGTATTCTCCTTTCCAATATTCTTTTTTATATCTCCTAACATCAAGGCTCTGAGAAAAACCGGAAGTAGATCATGGCAACTCCGTGCATAAGCATGTATGGGTAATGCTGCTTAAATAAACAAAACTTAGCACTGGTAGGACGATAGTTCCTGCTAAAATTGCTTTATTTAATGCTATGGATCCACAGATATAGCATGCAAGTTATTATTGGTCTGTTATTCACTCACTCGATTGTAGATAGCAATTGCTTAAACGTACCTACAGTTTTTTTAGGCGAAAAAGAATTAAACATTGTAACTCGCATGTCTTTAAATACTTTAAGGCTTTGAGACTAAAACAGTGATATTGGAGATCCAGATAAACTCATCAGGATCCGAATTTGAACTCCTTCTTTTTCAGATAATGCATTAAAGGACAACTGTAGGCAGACTTAGGGCGCAACCAGTATCGTTTACATATGAGAAACTAATAATATGGCCACCTCAGCAGCTTCAGGTTATATTCGAGCAGGAATATTCTAAATATTATAGCAAAGAGATTAAATTCACCTGTGCAGCTTTGACCATTTCCATTAAATCCAGGGTAGCATTCACAAAGATAGGATCCGTTGGTGTTCGTGCAGGTAGCATTCACGTGACAAGAGTGATTTCCTTTACATTCGTCAATATCTGAGGAAACCACATATATATTTGCACTTCATCATGTTTGTCACTTTAAAAATGAGCGGACTCTCAGTCGAGTGATTACTTTGATAATCATACATAACAAAACAATTTTTTCTCTTTTTGTGTTCCACGAATTAGATATTTGAAACGTATATTTTATCACGAGTATTTCAGTTTATTAAGCTATCGGCTCTGAAACAACTGGCTTGTTCCTGCTGCTCCCACGAAACGTACCATCCCTTGGGGGATAGGTCGTCACAAAACACTGGACCAAATTGCGGTGTAGAGTAACTACTCTTAATATTGGCATCACCCAGGTTTTGATAATTATAGCAGGTAATTTAGTGTTAACAACCGAGTTGAAAACGTAAATTTGCCACCGTAAAGGGTAAAAAAGCTGACGTTACGAGCGTTAGCCCTTCCTCAATCACTGATAGCATTACAAAGAGTCATGTTTCCTTTTGCTTTAATCGCCCATTTAAGTCTGAGTTGTATGTACCTCTACTATATGCTACCAAATGCGTTAAAGACATTTTTGATTCTCAGCTCCCGCACAACGATGCCAGCCCCGAGGTATTCGGTAGTAACACAATTATTTCCCAGGAGTGTGTAATTTCTCTCTGCCTCCTAAAGGTTTCCTTTCGTTCTAATAAAAGGGTCAGATAAGGTCAGAGAAAAATATACAATCCCTTCAGGACTCAACCTGCCATTTCTTTTAGATTTTTTTCCTTCCCCATTATTTTTCTTACCTTATCAACTGAGTTGATAATGCAAATTGGCCTCTGTAAAGAGTTTCAAAGCTGACGTTTCGAGCATTCGTTGTAGCACTCTTTACGGTGGCCAATTTACCTCATCAACTCAGTTGATAATACTAAATTACCCTGTTGCATTCTCCCACTGACGCAGCACCGCAGTTCTTGTAGAACCTTTATTTATCGCTCTTTCTCTCAGTTTACTGGCGATATAATCCACGCTGGATTTTGTGAGAACGAGCTGGAGGCGATTGATCTACTTTTTTTTCGAATGGTTTCCCAACATCTGAAGACGTTTACTACGCTGGTAAACCGATAGAAAGTGCGGTCTGTTACTTTAATAACATATATAAACTTCAATTTTCCACAGGTTTACCGGTGCAATCAACGATTGTTTTAGAACAAGCAGGGCGCTCGTAGTATCTTGACTATTTTATAAAACTTGATGATAATAATTTTCAACTTTTTCACTCAAATATATTTTGAGTGTCAACGAAAACGTAACGCCTTGGAAAATCATTTACATATCCATCCTGTGCACAGGGTTCAGAGCCAAACGAGCGATTTTATTTTCATGCTCCTGTCAGTCATTGTGATAAGGTTAATTTTAAAGGAGAACAACGCATTAGTCACCAAAATTGTTCATTTAAAAGTCAGGGACATTACCTAAGAGGTTCTTGACATGAGAAATGGCTGCCTAAATCAAAACCAGTAATGAGTAATTAATTACCTAATTGTCTTGCAACGCGGCTAAATGGTGCGGCGCTGTAGCTGGAAAGCATACAGGACTATTAAAAATATTGTAGCGAAGAAATTAAATTCACCTGTGCAGTTTTGTCCATTTCCAGTATACCCAGCATGACATTGACATACATGTGATCCAAGGGTGTTCATGCATGTAGCATTCACGTGACAAGAGTGATTTCCTTTGCACTCGTTGGTATCTGCAAAATCGTAAACATAACTAAAGAAACGAACTGTAATTAAAAAGAAAGTTGCCGAGCATAACGTAAGAAACCCTGGTCTTGTTGTCTTGTGGTTCCAGACGCAAATGCTTCACACAACCACTCACCAGATTTTTTTGTCGGTTCCCCCAAGTTCAAATCTGTTCCTATCTATCAAGTCTCCTTTTACCAGTGGAGATTTTTTACCTTACACTGAATGTTTACTTAACCACCTAACTCCCTTTAATGACCAAGAAAGAAATTCTCCTTACCAAATCATTACAATATCAAACAGACAAGTGAGGAGAATAAGGAAAAATATCAGCTTGGGGATTATCAGTTGATTCAATACCAAATTCTTAGAACTGACATCATAAGAATTGTGTGGCAGACAGTAAGGAGAATTACTAATGAGATCTTAGGAGTGAAAGGGTCAATACAAGGTATGCTGGTAAAACAAGTCTCGCAAATATGATAGTGCTTTTCTTTCTGATGGAAATGGTTTCAAAAGAAATACATCAGGTACCTGTGCAGTCGCTTCCATTTCCAGTATATCCGGGGTGACAAGTACAAACATAAAATCCTTTGGTGTTCATGCATATAGCATTCACATGACAAGAGTGATTTCCTTTACACTCGTTAATATCTGTAAAATGATAAACATAACAAATAATATATTTTAAAAAATTCAATTGGGAAGAAGTTTCAGAGCATAAGCTTAGAAACCTTAGTCTTGTTTTCTTGGGTCCTAGACGCAAGCACTTCACTTTAGAGCTCACTAGCTTTTTTTTCTTGGTTCCCCGCGGGTTTAAATCTGTTGTTCTGTCATGTAAGCCCATCCATCAAGTCTCCCTTTGCCAGTTGAGATTTTTTTACCACTGAATGTTTATTTAATACAATTGTGTCATTATCAACATTGTCTTCAGGCCTCAGTACACTCATCTCTTTTTTTATACAAGGTATGCTGGTAAAGGAAGTCTTGAAACGATGATAGTGCTTTTCTTTCTAATGGAAATGGCTAAAAAAGAAACGCATAAATACCTGTGCAGCTGTGTCCATTTCCAGTATATCCGGGGTGACAAGTACAAACGTACAATCCTTTGGTGTTCGTGCAGATAGCATTCACGTGACAAGAGTGATTTCCTTTACACTCGTCAATATCTGAAAAACCATCGATACATTTTTGCATCTTATCGTTTTTATTACTTATAGTCGTCTAATTCCTTTGATCATCACAAATTATAAAACAAATGTTTCTCTTTTAGGGCTACATGAATTAGATATTGCGAAATTATATTTCAGCACAAATAGTTTAATTTATCAATCTGAATGCTCTGAAACAAGCCAGGGGTAGACCAAGGTTACTCTGTGCCTAAACATGCATGGGTAACGCTGCTTAAAATCGTGAGAATATTTACAAAAATTGGTTTTATTGGGAAATATTAATAAGGTCATCTTAAAAATTACCTGAACATGAGTGTCCATCGCCGGTGTATCCCACTTTACATATGCATTTGTAAGAACCATACTTGTTGGTACAGTTTGCATTCACATCGCAGTTACTGATGTTATATTTACATTCATCCATATCTAGAATGTGGCAAGAGAAGCAGTAACTATGTTAGAGCAACTTGAGAGAGACATCCTTGCTAGAACTGATCCAAATCAAATATCTGGGTGATGGTATCAATAACAGTATAATTTTATAATAATCTCATGTTACTGATAGCTCGTAACAAAATAAAATAACTCATGCAAACTTATTAGACCTACCTTCGTGAACCATATCACAGTAAATCAGTTTTGCCTTTCCTTTACAAGTTGGATCCAGCCAATACTTGCCGCTTATGATGTGGTTACCTTCACTTGCCTTTATTTCGTGACAAGACAACGCCGGTAATTCAGGGATAGAGCCTAATGGAGCTGCAGTAAAGATATGTTTTACGTTCACCACCAATTCTTAGTTCTTGTAGGACGGAGAAGACTTTAAGAAATAGAAATCACATAGATAGAAAAACCTTTGATTTCTCACCTCTGCCGTTCAATCGCCGGATGTAAAACCACGCGGGTGCTGAAAGGAAATTCTCTGGTCTCGCCTCCTTGGTGCGGTTATTTAGTTCACATATTTGGTAATTTCTGTTGTAGTTATAGCTTTGGCATGTAATCTCTTGTCCACATTTGACATCGCAAAGATGAGGAGCCGCCACTGACCATCTTTTGAAAACAGAACGCTTGAGAGCCATTCCTTGTACATTTACTTCGGTCCTACATTGATCATTAGCTGTAACAAAATTCATGGTAGATGTGAAAAGGACGAATCTTAAATGGCAGAAGAGCCACCACATACTTCTTTCCTTGTACTTAATCTGAAAATATTTAGGGTAAGACACCACAGGTAAATGTTGAATTCCCGCTTAGTTACAGCTTAATTTGAAAACTATCTATCTCCCAGGTGAGTAATAATAAAAATCATAATACATGTCATGGACTGATTAATGGCTCTCCCGAAATCTCGCGAGAACGCTCCATAGCAGCTTGACAGGAGTAAACAAGATTCCATTATTCGAGAACGACATAAAAACTTGAGTGCAGAGATATATACTTGAGTGCAGAGAGCTATAATTCGAATTGAAGTTCAGGATCAGGCCAAGTAATTTTAGCCAAATTTACTCGGCCGGAAATACAAACAAACTTACAAAATTCCAGAAAAAAATCAGTCACCTATTACTCAGCTTGTCACTAACAATCAGGCAATTGTGAAGTTCATTTAAGTTAATGACGCTGCAAATGTGATACGTTCTTTTTTGTCATCTAACATGTTCAAGTTCTTTTTATCCTTACGTCACATAAATTTATGATGTAGGCTGCTCTCATATTATACTATTTGGGAATTTCTCGTGTTTGTTCCAGCCCCTTCGTCACCACAAGTGCATGTATAGTTTGTTTTAAAATGAGGACATGACAGGTCCTAACAGCTATTAATGACCACCATTTAAATACAAAACTTTTATGCTAATAGAGACTAGCCATCTCTTTTATTTTCTAGGTTGCTTGATTTTTTTATTTATTTATTTATTTTTTTACGCGGGGCTGCTCAATCTTTTTAACGTCTTTTAAGTGTGACATGCGACTAAACAATAGAAGAGAGCTTTCGAGCAAAATTCTATTTGAAATGACTTAATTGAGTTAGAATTGTGAGATCCTAATATTTTCTAGTCCCAAGGAACCTTTTATTTGAATTTGAATTTGAGACCATTTTCAGGTGGTCTAAATTCTGAAATTTCAAACCTCTCGGACAAACTTTGGCGCTATTATATTATTAACAATCTTTATATTCTTGTTTTGTTTCTACTACTAAGAACTACAGAAATTCGGAAAAATGAATAAAAGAATTGTGAAACTATTTCGAATAAAGCTTCTGAGACATTGTGTTTGTGTCAGTCTGGAGACTCGAAGTTTGAAGCGAACTTCTTTAGCGTCACTCTTAACCACATGTCTACTATAATTATATTATTACTGTCCGAGTCGCTACACCTTTGTTCTTCCGATTCATATCGGTAACTTTTACATCTCTTGCCGTTATTTGGGAATGATAAATGTTGTTTCGTAGACGGAGTCGCAGTTAAGATGTTGATCGGCCACACGATTAAAAGATGAAAATGACACGAGTGAGCCAGATATTTGTTGAAATGTCTCGATCAATTGTTGTTTTGAGTTGCAATATTTTGGCGATACAAAACATATCGTGACCGTTCGATTTATGGGAAAGAATATTCATCTAATAGCAAGTTGACAGGAAAAAAAGGTTTAACAAGACTCCCTTTTTTCCTTACGCTAATGGTACCGTGCTCGCAATTTTCCATTAGCTGAATGAAACAATGACGCAGAACTTTTGCGCTGAAGATTCGTTTTGAACAAAATAATTTGATTCCTCTTCCATATCAATTTAAGAGAGAGGATATGAGGTTGAACTTACATTGTGAATCCATCGATTGAAATGAGGCTTTTTAATTGAAAACGTTCAGTTTAATCAGAGCAAAGCATTGGTATTGATTATATTTTTAACGTTATGCACGGCAGAACTCTTTATATGATTTCTGTACCGTTTACTCGGATCTCAAAGTTGTTTTTTGATTGTAAAAAATTGTCTTTTCAGTAATTTTTTTAGATGTAAGTTGTTTCTAATTTTTTAGTTTCTGTTTCGCTATTCAGTTCCATTCAAGAAAGCAAAGATAATTAGGTTAGAATCTTATTCATAAACACAAAATATTTTTTCTTTCCATAAAAAATGTAGTCGCATTCCTTTACCAGTTTAGAGTTGCTTTGCGAGAGAGGACTGAAAAACATTTGAAATTATTATTTTATCAATATTTGTCATTTTCCATCTACGTGTATGTGTGGTAAAAGATGAGTGCTCGCTCCTTTGAAGTCCTCAATAAATATTTTGCACCTGGATATGTTTAGGCTCAAACGCTTATAATTCTTTTTTTTTTTTTTTAATGTATTAGTACACAGAGAAAGCACGTTCGATTTTACCTTTGTATTAGCATAGAGTAAAATATATATTTTTTCATATCAATAATAACAGAGAACTTCACTCATCCTGAAAAGGAATGACGAATGATAAACACAAAATTTTTTCTTAGAGCCCCCGCACTCTCCAACGTCAGGGAGACTTGATTATCAGCTTTCAGAAACTTTTAAGCCTAAAAGATATATATTTCACCTCATGCTCAAAAACGAGTGCCCTCACATATTTCAGAATGATGTGTTGACATACTTAAGAAAAGCCCTCCAGAATTTACATACGCACCTCGCGTCAAATTGTTGCCAAGTAGCTTCGTTTCTCAATGCACAGCCTTTGTGCATTGAAACTTGAGTCCGAGATAAAAACACCTGGGTGACTTGAAAATAATTAATTCCTGAAGATTCCACTTCTCAAAGCAGAAAAGAAGTACGATCGGTCAAGCAAATTAAATTTATTCTCTTACTATTTATTCCCAAAAAAAGATTTTTTAACTCAGTTATCAACAGTTGAGAGAAAAGTTGTTTCGAATCATTTATCCAAAACGAACCTTATGATTCCGTTCTAGCCGAAACTTAAATGAACGCTATCGATTGTTTGTTTAAATTGTTTATGGTAGTCTTGGGGACTACTTCAACCCTCTATACATAGAGAATAAAGTAAGTTCCCGCACGACATTTGCTACGATTCTTTTTTTCCTTTTAATCTTTTCCAAGGTACCGCAAAACCTCAAAACCGTTGAGGGAAAGTAGAAACAAAGTAGAATTCGACCACCATCGTGTTAAAACAAATACACCGGCCTTCTATGGATGGTATTCATAGGTGATATCTGAAAACTAAATCCTAGAAGGTAGCCGTAGTTAGTTTGCCCTCAAATATTTACTAAATCTTATTTTGGGATTTTAGTCAAACTTATGCCACGTAACTCTAGAGCTGATAAATATACGAAATGCGGTCCTCAACCACCTGATTGCTACAGAGTTCAAAATGCTGTCTTTCCTCAATGTATTACAACTATGATTACGATACCAACCGTTTGTTTTAAGCCAATGTAAAGAACTTCATCGTTTCTGTTTTGGCTCCTCTCAAGTATTGAATTCAACAAGATTCGGGCCGGAAGTTAAAATATTATAATCGTTCTGTTTGCGATGTTTGCTAACCAATGGCGAGGATATTTGTTTCATTAATTTTAAATGAAAACTAATCGGTATAAATTATTAGCTTTTAGACACGAATTAAGGTTTGGTAAATTTTAGCTACAAACATACGAAAGCTACTTTAAAATTAGCTCTTAGGAGTATTTTCACAACACATCCCTGTCATCTTTTCATAATCCATTGCCTCACTAAAGAAACCCATCCATAAGCTATGGAAAATATAATTAACCTTGAGGAACGTCAAATTGTCCGTCCCAAGCAAAGCAAATATTGATGATGTGGGATGCAGTTAATTTGTTCATAGTAAACAAGATTCCATTATTCGAGAACGACATAAAAACTTGAGTGCAGAGATGAAGCTACAATTCGAATTTAAGTTTAGGATCAGGCTAAAGAAATTGCAGAAATATACTACGGAAATGCAAACAAACTTACGTAATTCCAGAAAAAGTTGAATAATTTATTACTCAGCCTGACACTAACAATTGGGCGACTGTGAAGTTCATTTAAGTTAAAGACGCTACAAATGTGACAGGTTTTTTTTTTCATCTAACATGTGTCAGTTTAAGTTCTTTTTATCCTTACGTTACTTAAATTTATGATGTAAGCTGCTCCCAAATTACAGCACTGAAGAATTTCTCGCGTGTATTCTAACCCCTTCGTCACCAAAATATGATATGGTATCGTATAAGTTGTTTTAAAATGAGAGACTTGACAGGTCCTAAAAGGTATTAATGACCATCATTTGAATACAAAAATTTTATACTAGTAGAGGCTTGCTCTCTCTGGGTTGCTTGTTTGTTTGTTTGTTTGTTTGTTTTTTTACGCGGCGTTGCTCACTTATTTTAACATTGTTTAAATGTGACATGCGACTGAACAATAGAAGAGAACTTTTGAACAAAATTTTATTTGAGATGACTAAATTGAGTTAGAACTGTATGATCCTAATATCCTCTAGTCCTAAGGAATCTTTCAATTGAATTTGAATTTTAGACCATGAGCAGGTGGTCTAAATTCTGAAATTTCAAACCTCTAAGTGAAACGTTGGCGCTTTTCCATGGACGAGCTTTTCATTGCAATATTTACATTCTTGTTTTGTATGTACTGCTAAGAACTAAAGAAATTCGAAAAAAAAATGTAATAAAAGAATTGTGAAACTATTTCGAAAAAAGCGTCTTAGACATGGTGATTGCCTCAGTCAAGAGACTCGAAGTTTGAAGCGTACTCATTTAGCGTCACTCTCAGGGTCCTGTTCACAGTTAAGATGTTATTGGATGTTAATTCACTTGATGCCCGATAGCCTTCCCATATTCGTCCTAATGCGCTGATTAATTCTTAACAAATAGATAATCTTATGTTTGGCGTGTAACTGATTGTGTTGCGTTATTGGTGGTTTTGGTGGTCTGGGCCAGATTACCTGAGTGCTATAGTCACTTTTTTCACTCATTAACATTTGTGGCGATGTCAGGTGTCTTGATTTTGATAGAAGGTAATGACCTCTCAGCCTTGAGCAAAGTCACTCTCATTTCACCAGTAAGGCTCAAAGTAAAGCTTAAGACAACCTCTGGGCCTAGAATGCCAACTGATTGGTTATTCACCTCTATAATAACAATACTGTAACATGTCAAAGAAAAGGTGTGCGGTAGAAAAAGTAATCAGTATTTTAAGGTATTTTCATCTCATTGGTTTGGCAGAGGCGAAAGAAAATCCGCATGTTCGACTGGACAGAACTCGGTGGTGCTCCATCTGATGTGTTAGGGTATACTTTTGACGAGGGACAAAATTATAGCGGGTGGTTTTATTACCAGGCTTTATTCAGCAACAGCTCCGACTGATTCCATTTATGGAAAAAAAAAATTCGTTAAGGTGCAAAGTTAACAACCCAGTGCGTCTACACATTTTATTAGTAACGCTTCATGCTCCGGCGTCATGTGAAAATAAGTTTTTCTCAGAGCATTTTATGTACAGTAATGCAAGAGGTAGCCATTACTATTCTTAGCCCCTACAGATAACAATAATTTATCCCTTTGTTGAGAGATGCCTTTTTTGCAAGTTTTCCTTTTTTTTTATTATTACTGTTTATTTTAATAACAATTGACAATTGAATTCTAACATTACTTGTGGGAAAATTACCTGCAATTTAATCAAGGAAAATGTTCAATATTAAATTAATTGTGACAGTTCTAAAGAAAACTATCTTACTCTCCTTTTGCTGTTCCTTACGTTACGATCTTTTACAATAAGTTTCTTCATTTATTACTGAATTGTTGTGATGTAAAGTTAAAACCAGTTTTGATTGATTACTTTGTTTTTACCTCACTGGGTTCTGGTTTCATGCATTTGCCCGAACATTTCTTTGTTGTTGTTGTCATTTTCCCTGGTTACTGATATTATGGTAAAAGCTACTCTTTCGCGATTGCTATCAAATGAATTTGAAGTCTTTTACATAACATTTCATTAGATGAGTGGTACCGAGAACCTACTCTGGCATATGGACTACATAAAAAAGTCCGTGTAAGTCAAAAGTATTTACAAAGGGATAAAGTTTTTGTTAAATGATGAGATTACATATGCGATGCCCTTCTACCACTCAAGCAGCTGAGTCACAAAGTGACTCAGCTCATATCACTTTCCTTTGAAAAGAGCACCAACGATTTTTGAATAGTTTGATACGTTGTTAATAAACTCGCCTTGTTTTGCCTCATTTGATTTGTGTTCGGGTCTCTTCTTGTAAATTAGAAACAAATAAACATCAAATGATTCAAAGACTAGTCTTAGAAAAGAAGTGGCTCTTGCGTGTTTTTCTCCAGCGCTCATTATTTTTCATAGGATTCTTTAAACATTTTTGCAGGTTAAAACAAGGAAAATTTCACAATGAGAAACTGTGATTTTGATTTCAAATCTAACATTTCTGTGTAAAATTGTTAGTGATGTGCTTGAACGGTGTACAAAGTTGTTTGCAACACCTTACAACTCACCTATACTACTCTAAGTCTTATTTTTAGCACATCGCGACTTCGAATATTTTTCTTTTTGCGTTTCTGTTGTAGGAAAACATTAAACTTTGAAAAACTGGTCAACTTTTAAAAACTACATGCAGTTTTTAAACGTAATCGTACTCATGAATGTTGCACTCGCCCCCAAAGGCTTATGCAATTTGGTTAGCCTTTGAAAATTTACTCGTGCTGATTTCTCCCAAATTGCACTCCAAACGCCTGATTACCTATACAGATTGCTGCAAAAAATTGTTTTGACAAATTTCATCTTGAATGAATGGAGTGCCTGCGCGCTTAATTAAATAACGGTTACGCAGGCTAAACCATTGAGTTTTGCTTACTGTGTGTCTGGAAATTTGTTTAACGTTCCAAAATACTGAGTCACAATTATTACGTTAACTTTGTGTAATTTCATAGGACATCAGATTTTGACTGTCTTTACTTATTTTTTTTCTACGCCGATATTGTAAGACAGCGCCTCCTTGTATTCCGTCAACCTACGCTAAAATAACTATGGTTAATAATTAAAAAAATATACTAAAAAAAGAAATTCACAATTAAAAGGCTCGAAAACCATCAGCTTGAGAGTTTGCGTCATGCAGATTTTATTTGAAGATTACCTTGAAGATCCTTCAACTCTCTTCGATAACAGAGGCTCTCTGATGAGAATTATCATTATAATGAAAGAAATACCTGTTTGCCACCAAAGTTAAAATCTGCTGATAATGTTCACGATAGAGACGAAAGGTTAAGTAGATCACATGTTAAAAACCTTACACACATGTAGTTACGGAGCGATTTATGAGTCCTCTTACTGCGCCATGTATATTTGCTTCGCATTCAGTCTGTACCACAGTAGCATGAATCATAACCAGGTGGGTGGTGAAGTTTGTAGATGAAGTAGGATCCACAGTTTTTCACAAAAATCGTTGTTGAGTATTTGCAAACCGGGAGCTCAGATAGACGATTACTAAAGCAGACCTTCATATCAACTTCACCATCTTGCACTGTAGGATGAGCACCATCCAACCAGCCTGACCAGTCTGTACCACATCTGTATGCTGGCACACGTGTTGTTGGCATTTTTGTTCCCGCAGCTCCCACAAAACGATACCATCCCTCAGGGAGTTTGTAGTCACACAATTCTGAACCGGGAGGTGTAAGGTAATCTTTCTTTCTATTGGCTTCACTCAGGTTTTCATAATGATAGCAAGGATCAGCTGCAAAGTGAAATGAGAATTGCAAAAGGACTGATATTATTAAAATCAAGCCTAAAAGATATCTTTTTCACCTCCCGCTCAAAAACGACTGCCCTCAAATATTTCAGAATTATGTGTTGACTTAAGAAAAGCCCTCCAGAGATTTTGCGTCAAATCGTCGCCAAGTAGTTTCGTTTCTTAATGCACAACCTTTGTGCATTGAAACTTGAGTCCGAGTTAAGTCCTTAAAAATTGTTTTAACTATGGTTCCGTGACCAAAAATTGATGCATTGAGGACATTTATTTTTTATGAGATTTCTACTGTAGGAAAGACGCCCCCGTGGACGTAAATTACAACCGCCGGACCCGTGCCGCTTGAAGATAATTAAGTCCTGAATATTGCACTTTTCAAAGCAGAAAAGAAGTACGACCGGTCAAGCAATTTGAACTATATTCTCTTAATATTTCTTCCCAAACAATATTTTTTGACTGAACTCAGTTATCAATATTTGAGAGAAAAGTTGTCTAGAATCATTTATCCAAAATGAACCTCATGATTCATGCTATCAATTACTTTGTCTAAATGTTGATATTCGTCTTAAAGACTAATCCAGCCCTCTACACATGGAGAATAAAGAAGTTGCTGCATGAGATTTGGCTAATTTTTTTGTGCTCTTTTTCATTTGATCTTTTTCAAGGCACCGCAAAACCTCAAAGCCGTCGAGGGAAAGCTATTGTATTAAAAAATGTCCCTATGGAAATATCGTGTTTTTTTATGTTCTATTTGATAAATGTTGGCCATATTTTGAAAGTTTGAGATTTTTGAAAGCGATATTTCACCGCCACAAATGACTGAAAACAAACAAAAAAAATTACTGTGAAACAGCACTTCTAACAAGAGACAAAATAAAACGGTGCACCAAATAGGCCTTATAAATCTAAGCTGATCTCAAAGAAACTATGCAGTTTTGGTTCCTTTTCTAAATTCTGTGGCTGTGTAAGTTTACTAATAACTTGTGCGATCCTAATAACTTCTAGTCCCAAATAATCTTTTATTTGAATTTAAATTTAGAGCATGTACGGTTGGTCTGAATTCTGAACCTCTCGGGCAAACTCTGGCGCTTTTCCACGTAAGAGCTTATCGAGGCAGTCTTTATAATCTTGTTTTGTTTCTGCTGTTAAAAACTACAGATATTCGAAAAAAATTTAACGAAAGAATTGTGAATATGTTTCGAAAATAGCATCTGGGACAGGGTGTTTGTCTCCGTTGAGAGACTCGAAGTTTGAAGCGTGCTCATTTAGCGTCACTCTCAGGGTCGTGTTCACGGTTCGAGATGTTATCAGACATTAATTCATGCGATGCCCTGTACACATTCATTCAAGTGCGCTGATCAATTTTGAACAAATAGATAATTGTATGTTTGGCGAGTAACCGATTGTGTTGCGTTATTATTGAGATCATTTTAGGAAAAGTTTTAAGTTATATCACGTTGACTTACTTTCCAACGATTAAGGTCCATCTATTTGCTCATTAGAATGATGAATGAACTTTTTGGTGGTTTGTGCCAGGTTACCTAACAAATTCAATATGGGTGGTCAACACTCGCTTATGTCTCTAGTATTCTGATTCCCTTGCTGAAAAAACACAAACACCTCAGTACAAATGAATTTTTGGTAAGACATTTGTTTGCAAAGATGAATGACACCTTTTTACCTAAGAGAGAGAAAAGAAAAGTGAACCATTTACACACTTCCATCAGTGTGTATTTCCCCCGTACTGTTCTTGATACATTTCAGACATGCAACTTACAAGGAGAATGTAGTTAAAAATCAAGAGCTCTTTCAAGTTTGTGATCATTTCTTTAGTTTTTTATAAGCCTGATGTTGATTCAGCAGTGAATAATAAATTGATTGGTACTTTTCTCAATCACAATTTCACTGTGAACTGGAATCAAGTTGGTGGCGCATGTAATAATGCTCACCAATTCCTCACTTACATGAAATCCAGATGCATGACTTATTTTGTACTCCTTGTTCTCTACAGATGCTCTGTTAAAGTCGTGGAGACATGAGGAGTTGAGAGATTTATACAAGGTAACCTTGATATATATCGGTTGACAGCTTTTTGATTGATTGATCAAGTTAAAAATTGAGATTATTTTGACTGTGTGTGCTGGTCTTGTGGTGAAGTATGCAGGGTATTGGTCTCTAATAAAGTCAACCAAATCCAAGAAGTCACAAGTGGTGTGTACCGCTCCATGTGTACCTTAATACCTTGAGCTTAAGTACAAAAAAAAAATAATAGAATAAAATGTAGTATAATAGAGGAATTATTAAATATATATATATATATAGTCTTTAGTTCTTAAATGTACATGGGAGATTCAATAGTGGAAGTGTGAAAGTGTTCTTATGGAGCACAATTTGAAAACTGTACACCAATACATTGGGCCTATTTTTTAAGTGACTCATTGTTTGGTACTCTGATTGCAGAGAACCTTAGGTATCTTACAAATATAGGTCTGCATGATGCAATCCCAATTATGTCTTTGATATTCACTTTTGAGACTTAATGTAAAACATTTCAATGTTGTAGTTAGTATGTTTTGGTTGCTGCATATGCTCTAAGCCAACAGTGGTTTTCAAACCTCCTTAAAAAAAGGAGGAAAAAAAAACAGTCAAAAAGAGAAAAAGGGAAGGAAAGAGCAAGAACAAAAGAGAAGCACAAACATCAGTCTTAGAGTTAAGACCTCGCTATCTTTGCCTAGCTTAGAGTTTACCTGAGTTTATGTGTTTGGATGGAACATGAAGTTTGCTCATATCATTATATTTTACTTGACCAGGGTTACGTTCCAGGTATTTTTGGCGTATCACACGTAGCACTGCAATTCATGGCCTATGAGGAGCTGAAGAAAGGCTACAGTCAATATTTTGGAACACCAATCAACAAGAAGCTGGTGAATACTGTCTGCACGTGTCTGTATAGTTGATTGTATACGTGTTAAAGCTCACAAATTCAACCGAGTTAGCAAACAAGAAACTCTTGATCTTAATCCTTGACATACAAAACATGTGAAGCGCTTTTACTCTGATCATGTTAATAGCTTAGGGTGGATGACTGAAGTGTTGTCATTTACTGGAACGAAACTTTTCTCTCAACTCCCCTCTCCACCCAGAAGGATTGATAAGAATCAACCCTTTGCCCCGCTCCCCCCCAAGATTGACTGACATCTAACTTCACCTTACAATATTACCTCTGAATCACACATGGAAGTCATGAGAATAGAGGAAATATTCAGCCACCGAAAAAGTTCGACTGTTTAAGAAATTCTCCTTGTCAGTATCTTTGGAAATGTACAGAGAACAGTATGGAGAATATGGATATTGATGTTAGGGTGTAAAGGGTTAACACGAACACATGTAATGGTCAGTGGCGAATGTAAAGGGGGAACAGGAGAGAGGGAAGGGTGGGGAAAGTTTTTGGCTTCTCATCTTGAGTAGTAGTCCTCCATGACGAGCTTCAGCATTTTGAAGCTACAACTGACGCCCAAACGACAACCTTAATACCTTTGTTGTGCACGTGGCTGGTAGGAAGGTACTTATAGGATGACTTTTATTATTATGTAACCGTGGGTTATCTTGGGAATCACTCTGAAGTGCTGAAAATATAGTAGTTCTTTTTTTTATATAAAGTGTTTTGCTCTCTAATTTATGTTTTGCTAACTTTCATTTTCGTCAGAGTTCAACTGAGTACCTTGTAATGGCTTCACTGTCGAAGATTTTCGCCGCAACAGCGACATATCCTTATCAAGTGGTTAGAGCAAGACTTCAGGTTAGAATGGGAGATTCATTAGCAAATGATTAACCTTTTGACATAGATTTAGATTTCGTTTTACTGTTGTATGCTATTATCTTGAAATAAACTTGTAGTTTAAGGCTGTTTTTAGTTTTCAGGCCGGTGATCTCATCGGTTGGTTTACTGGACTCCAGTTTGATGTGGCCTGTGCTCGGGCCTCGAGCCTCAGCTAGGTCATTGTGTCGGTTCCTTGGGAAAAGATTCGTTAGCCCCACACATCCCCCCTACCGGTGGGTCAAATGGGCACCAACAAAAGGCCAGGGAAACCCTACAATGAGGATAAATACCAAATCTCACGAGGGAGAATAGCTTTCACCCTCTTTCACTCTCTCTATTCCTCTTAAGAAACACGGATCCAAGATGGTTATGAGAATGCACGGCGCGAAAGTTTTGATCCTGTGCCCATAAAATTAGCTAAAACCAATTGAATATATCTGGAGCTGTCTCTAAGCAAGTCTGATTTGTTAAATCGTTCAGTATTTACTGTTTCCTGCTGTCATTTATTGTTCATGAATTTTACTTTTCTAAAGAATCAGTACACGATGGTGGAATACAAAGGCGCGTTGGATGTGATTAGTAAGACTTTCAGGTAAGTTGGAACTTGACATGAGGACTTAAAGTTTTCGATACGTTATAGACTAGCTTTCCATCTCTAGTCAGTTCAAACTCTCTACATTAAAGAGAGGTACATGTTTTGCCCGTTTGAAACAATTTGACAAAGAACTGGACCAAAATTGGCGGAGAACTGAAACCAGCTTGTTTGAGAACTGGATCCAATTTCGGACTGACTTACGGCTTAGTGGTAAAGTCCATTTTTTATGAAAGAAGGTATTCTACTTTTTCTGGCCTCTCCTCATGGCAGGTTCTTTTCCAAATCTTAGGCATGAAGGAGTAACAGGATTTTATAAAGGATTAATTCCCAGTGTCCTCAGGTAAGGCTAAATGTTAAAAATAAATTTGATGATACAAGTAGGTTTGCTTGTTAGTTTTATGTGTTAAACCGCAATGTATAATCTAGAATTGGCCAAGAGGGCTTAGTGGGCTCTCATCTTTAATTTTAGGTAGCGCTTTGTAAAGGAAAGGGTCTTAAGAGATGGGGTACCCCCATGAGGTGTTTGAACTTATTTGCACCCTCTAGTCTGTGAGAAACTGGGAAGAAGAGACAGGCGATAGATACATTAAGAGGCTATAAAATTTGGAGTAGGTGTCATGTCACTGTTTTCGTCAGTTACATGTTCGAATACTGTGAAATTATTAAGATACTTATCGTTATCACAAATGTTTGTGCCCCACCTGATATGTTAGTGTAAGTTTTCGCGGTTTTTTCGTTTTTGGAAATCCAGCAAAGGAGCGCTTTAGAAGAAACCCTGAAACTGTAATATATGTAAAACGTTCATTGTCGATTTTACTGTGTATTGTGCGTTTGATTGTTGTTGATTTTGTTTCTTTTTAGAGTAACGCCAGCATGTGCACTTACATTCGTGGTGTACGAAAACGTTATTCACTTCCTTCTGCCGGACAGATGACATCGACAGGATAAATGATGGAATCCGGCAACGGGAGACGATGGGCAATACTACAGCACCTGGTTTTATTACCAGACTTTATTCTGCAACAGTTCCGACTGATTCATTTATGGAAAAAAATATATTAACCGAGCGAAGTTAACCGCCCAGTGTGTTTACACATTTTATCGATAACTTCATTTACCAGCGGAATGTGAATATGAAATTTTTCAGAGCAATTTTTGTACATCAATGCAAAAGGTATCCATTATTACTATCAGGTCCTAAGGGTAACAATGACTTCTCCCATTGATCTTTTATAAAGAACCTTCCCCCTCCCCTTTGTCCCTTGTCCCATACGGGTATCAAATTTATGTACATCCCCTTAGCACTAACAAAGGCATGAACTACAAGAGATGCCTTTTTGCAATTTTTTTTATTTATTACTATTAACTTCATAATTCAAACATTACTTGTGAAAACTACTTGCAATTAATCAAGAAAAATGTTCAATATTAAGTTAAAAATTACCTTATTTTCCTTTTTCTGTTCCTTTCGTTAAAAATCTTTTTCAATAACTTTCTCCATTTGTTACTGAATCGTTGCGATGTAAAGTTAAACCCAGTTTTTATTTATGGCTCTGTTTTTACTTCACTGCAACATTTCTTTGTTGTTGTTGTTATTTTTCCCTGGTTATTGACATTAACTTCAGTAAAAAACGGTGGAAGCTACTCTTTCGCGATCGCTATTAGATGAGTGGTATCGAGAACCTACTCCGACCCATGGACTACACTGCCCTTAACGCTTACTCGTGTTCGTGTTATGAAACTCAGCTAAAAATAGTCCGTGTAAGTTAAATTTATTTACAGAGATACACAGTTTTTGTTAAATAATGAGATAATCTATTTACACCACTCAAGAAGCTGAGCCACAATTGACCCAGCTCATATCACTTTGCTTTGAAGAGTCTATTTTGATACGTTGTCAAGAAATTCAAAATAAGCGTGAGATGTAAGCGATCCATTAATTTCAAATGAATTCTGGTCGATTCGGACACATTTAACACACGGTTACGCAGGCTAAACCATTGAATTTTGCTTACTGTGTTTCTGGAAATTGGTTCAATGTTTCAAAATACTGAGTCACTATTAATACGTTAACTTTATGTAATTTCAAACTACATCAGATTTTGACTGTCATCGCTTTTTTTTTCTATGCCTATAACGTAAGATAGCGCCTGTTTGTATTCCACGGACACACGCTAAAATAATCATGGTTTATAATTACAGCAATTGAAGGATGAAAAAAAATAAAATAAAATAAAATAAAAGGCTCGAAAACCTTAAGCTTGAGAGTTTGTGTCTTGCAGATTTTACTGGAAAATTACTTAAAGATACTTGGGGAAACTCTCTTTGATGACAGAGGCTATCTGATGAAAATTATCACTCTAATGAGATAAGTACCTGTTTGCCACCAAAGTTAAAATCTGATGATAATGTTTACGATAGAGAAGAAAGGTTGAATACCTTACATGTCAAAACTTTATATACATGTATCTACGGAGCGATTTGTGTGTTCTCTTACTACGCGAAGTATATTTGCTTCACATTCAGTCTGCACTACAGTAGCGTGAGTGACAACTTCGTGGCTTTAAAAGTTTGTAGATAAAGTAGGATCCACAGTTTTTTACAAAAATATCTTCTGTGTATCGGCAACCAGTAAAGCGATCACTAAAGCAGACCTTCCTGAAAACTTCACCATCTTCCACTGTAGGATGAGCACCATCCAACCAACCTGGCCAGTCTGTACCACATCTGTATGCTGGCACACGTGTTGTGGGCATTTTTGTTCCTGCAGCTCCCACAAAACGATACCATTCCTCAGGGAGTTGTTTGTCACACAACCCTGAACCGTCAGGTGTTACGTAAGTTATCTTTCTTTTGGCATCACTTAGGTTTTTATAATGAAAGCAAGGATCGGCTGCGAAGTGAAATGAAATTTGCCAAAGGACTGTAGGTATTAAAATAAATGGTTCAAGATCTTTTCTAACGTCTTATAATTCTAGCAGCTTGTCAATCAGTGATGAAACTTGTACTTAAGAAGAAAAGTGACTTTACATTAGTTAAGGGGCTAAGTAGTACATGTCAAATCCCGGTGTAGCGTAATTGTTCTTTCTATCGGCATCACTCAGGTTTTGATGATAATAACATGGGTCGGATATTAAAATAAATAAAAATTATAAAATGTTGCAGTACCAATGATAACTTTTTTTTTTCTTGTTGACATTTTTCAAGTCAATCAGTTCGATAACAACCAGATAGGACTTGCGTGTTACAAGAACAACTATGCATTAAATTAATTTTAAGGGAATTTTGCGTTGGACAATAATTATGCACTAAAGAACTAAAATGAAATGATAGTATTGTAAAGAGTTATTTTTCCTCTTGCTTTAATCGCCCATCAAAGCCTGTAGTTGTTTGTACCTCAACTGAATGCTACCAAATGCGCTTAAGACATTTTTGACCCTCACTTCCCACACAACGATACCAGCCCACAGGTATTTGGTAACAACACAGTTATTTCCCATGACTGTATAAGAACTCTCTGCCTGTTAGCATCATCCAATTATTTATAACCATAGCGCAAATTGGCTTGCAAAAGTCAAACGAATTTGATTGATCATACCTGTTATTATGGGGGAATCTTTTAAGGTTAGAGTTTCTCAACAGTTTTTTAGTTCCGCGTAGTGTGTTATGTCTGCATCATGTAAAAGTTCGTGTAAGGTTTTAAAAACATAATCAAAATTTACAAACATTGAAGCGATCCTCGCAGTTTTGAACACTACTACACTGGCAGTAGCAGTGCACATATATGATTTTCATATGTTTACATTAATGTATTCACCAATTAGATGGTTATTTGTAACTAGCAGCTCCCAGTTAGCCTGTTAGCTCAGTTGGTAGAGCGTTGCACCGGTATCGTAAAGGTCATGGGTTGAAATCCCGTACGGACCTGAATTTTTTTTCAGGCCTTATTTTCACTACTAGTTCAGTGGTATTCATAACTGCGAGGATTGCCTGTATATTCGTTTCTTCAACCGCAGTGCACATGCATGATTTTCATATATTTATAGTCATGTATAATCAAAAGTTGTTTCGTTTTTGTACACAAGGGAGCGTAAAATTATGCCTCCTGGATGTGAATTTCGAATGGAAGTCAGCTCTAAGCCAATTTACTGCTACGTTTAACGTGGGAAACAAAATATAGATTTCATCGCCTTCATGAAAAACCAAACTAACCTTTACATTTAAAACCATTCCCAATATACGTAGGATTGCAAGAACAGTTGTATGAGCCCTGGGTATTAGTGCAAGATGCATTTGGATGGCATCCGTTCATTTTGACGGTATGAGCCTTGCTACATTCGTCAACGTCTGAGAGAAAACAATTAATTTTCCATGGGTTTATAGGTGCAATCAACGATGGGTTTTTGAGCAATCACGGCGCTACCAGGATCATGATTATTTTATAAAACTTGATGATTATAATTTCCAACTTTTTCCCTCAAATATATCTTAAGCGTCAACAAAAACTCAGTGCCAAGGGTGTTATTGCACTTAGCATTCACGTGACAGGAGTGATTTCCTTTACACTCATCAATATCTGGGAAACCGTAAATGCATTTTGCACTTTATTTTCGTCACCTAACGATTTGTAATTGCTTTAATCATTTCAAATAATAAGTAAAAGCTTTCACTTTTTCGTCTTTAACGAACTAGACTTTTGAAACGTGCAACCTAGATATTATATTCTCTTCTCTAATGTTTTTTTTAATTTCCTAATATGATGGCTCTGAAAAAAACCGGATGTAGATCATGGCAACTCCGTGCATAAACATGTATGGGTAATGCTGCGTAAAAAGACAAAACTTAACAATAGTAGGACAGTAGTTCCTGCTAAAATTGTAGATTAGCGTAGAGTCACTTTCCTTATTCTTTAAGAATTTGTTCATGCTTAGCGTGCGTATATCGGGTTATGGATGCACGCGGGAAGTTTGGAGAGCACGGAAAATGCGTAAGAGCAACTCTAGCTTTTTGACTGGGCTCCAAACTTCTTAAGTGCATCCATAACTTGATATACGCACAGCTAAATGCATTAGCAAATTCTTTTATAACAGAGCTACAACAAGGATCTGCGAGAAGAAGCCTTTTACTGTGATATAGTGCGAAATTCCCCAGATTGAACAAATTTAAAAACAACAATAAAAAGGGAAATTTTACCTTTATATGTTGTTAATGACCAATTGGTGACTTTTTTTTGTTCCCATTGAATGTCTTTCGGCCAAAATTTGCTACAGCTGGTCTTCCGACAAATTTGCGAAACGTGCAACTTGCGAGTTTTTTTCGGCTTTATTTTTGTTGCTTGTTGGATCAGGACCTAAAAGGTCAATGCCGATAGAAAAATTTGGTAGTTCTTCGCTGGTTTCTTCCATATTTATAAGAGAAGGAAAACTGCACTTCAGCTTAACAGGACGGAAACTCTAAATCCAGGTCAAAAAAATACTCACGTCATCTTATTTACGCACCGGCGTGCGTAAATAAAAATTTTGTTCATAGCGGCTCAATAGGACTTATACAGGGCAAGCACGCGCGCTATGTTATAATAATGTTTCCTTTTGCTACAGAGTCTATTGTCACATACCTCATGAAATTTTCAATTGGCTATAACAATGGCTGAGTTGCTTGTTAAAAAAGATAATGTTTTGTTTTCTTTACCACTGAATGTCTTTGATGTTTGTTATGTTGCTGATGAAAAAATAAAAACCATTTTCCCTTTGAAATGAACTGGATGTAAATTGTCTCTTTATTCCTTCATAATGCACCATTTTGTCACAAAGAAACGCAACGGTTCAATCATGAGATTGACTGTACTTTAAAATTTAAAGTGTGAAAGTTCTAACCAAGAGAAGCAGCAAGTTTTAAAATTAAAAAAAAGTTATAAACTTGAACTGTGGTACTAGTTAAATGGAGTACAAACATTAATCATCCCTCACATTGATGATCATGGATAAAGTCAGGAAATATACAAGAAATATCAACATTAATGTCCACTCTGTTCCACATTAATCTACAACTGGTGATACATTTTCCCTTCACTCTCTGAGAACTGGCACTGTCGAGGTTCCTTGTAGAGTAAATCTTGAGCTGTGTATGCAAGTGGACTGGGGCTTCTCTCTGGGGAAATCATAGAGGATGAACCTGCACAATAACTAAATCCTGCAAATGGGCTGGGGCTTCTTCCTGGGAAAATCATAGAGGATGAGCCTGCAGAATAACTAACTGTGGGCTGTCTTTGTGACATGAAGAGTTCCATTAACTTTAATTCATACTCGCTGATTTTCCTCTTTGAAAAAATGCATCAGCTGTGTTGTTGGTTCATTATTAATCACTTTTTCAAAAAGCTCCACAGCAGTGGACAAAGCACTAGAATAGTTCTGAGATTTGACCTTCTTTCTTCTACCCTTCCTTATAGGCACAAATTGTTTCTTGTCAGAGTCGTCACCTTGGTCAAAACCGTCACTTGATTGCTCATCAGTGCGGGTTCTGTTATCTGATGCTTTTTTCACTGGCTCCCCGTCCGACAACTGCAGTGATGAAGAAGACTCTACCGCCATGTCAGGGTTACATGAATCCCTTGTTTGAACCAGTGGAAATAGTTGATTAAACCAGGCTCCCAGCTGCTTTTGATCTTGAACCCTTTTTACGCCCGTCGAGGTCTTGTCAGTCAATGCAATTTTTTTGCATTCGGATATGCATTTCTTGAACTTGTTCCTGAGCTGATCTACGCTAAACGGGAAGCTACCATCTTCATATCTCTGGCCCAAATCTTTGAGCACATTAGCATATATTTCTGCGTTCTTCGAATTTTTCGTGTTCGTGAAAATCAACTTCTTCTTATAGTACTCGCTACTACATATCACATCTACTAAATCATTGACATGTCGCTCTTCCCATACGCTTCTCCGTCCCTTTCGCTTATTTTTCCTCGAGCTGCACACTTCACTCTGTTCACTGACTCCTGTGTCGGATTCGTTTGAATCAGTCTATTTGTCGTTATCTGGAGAATAGCTGTCGAATGATGCAAGTGAATATCTCTTTAAAAAAGTTCGGGAAACGTCGGCGGAGCTATTGTCACCGTCGGATTCCTCTTCTCTCAAGCTTTCGCGGGCAAAACGGGTAGATTTTTGCGCCACGACGCCATTTTTTTTTTATTAGTGCGCATGCGTAATAGTATGCAAATAATGCAAAATACGTTAAATTAATCTATGAATTGAGTTCGGCGCGACAGTAGCACAACGTTTGAAACCAAGTCGTGCTCCTGCCGTGCGGCACGGCAAGGTCTGCAGTTTCAAACGGCGTGCTACTGCCGTGCTTAAATCGAAATAACTATTTCATTTGAGTTCGGCACGGCAGTAGCACGACGTTTGGAACTGCAGACGAGATGTTATCGGATGTTAATTGACTTGATACCCGATAGCCTTTCCATATTTGTCCTAGTGCGCTGATTAATTCTAAACAAATAGATAATGATTTGGCGAATAAATGATTGTGTTGCGTTATTTTTGGGATTATGTTGGGGAAAGTTTTGGTGGTTTGGGTTAGGTAACCTAAGTGCAATAGTCATTTATTTTTACTCATTATCATTTGTGGAGATGTCAGGTGTCTTGATTTTGATAGATGGTAATGAGCTATCAGCCTAGAGCAAATTCACTCTCATTTCACCAGTAGGGCTCAAAGTAAAGCTCAAGACAATCTCTGGGCCTAGAATACCAACTGGTTGGCAATTCACCTCTATAATAACAATACTGTAACATGTTAAAGAAAAGGTGTGCGGTTGAAAAAGTAATCGGTATTTAAAGGTATTTTCATCTCGTTGGTTTGGTGGTTGCGAAGAAAATCCATATGTTTGACTGGACAGAACTCGGCGGTGAACTTCGCCAAGCTCTTTGGACAACACAGCCAAATTCTCTTATTAACTTTCTTTGATCAAGTGTACGATTAGGAGTGAAGTTTAACCAAATTTTTTGCCATTCCTGAGATAATTTAGCCTACTTATTGGGCATTTTGATATGTGTCTGATCTCTTTTCACTACGATTTTCTTTTAAAATCTCAGGCAGGATGGAGTGAGAGGATTTTAGAAAGGATTGATTCCCATTGTCTTGAAGTAAGATTCAATGTAATGGTTAATTTTGGTGGTACAAGTAGGTTTGACGATATGTGAAATTCCGATATTTCTTTGAACACGATTCCTGTATATTTTTTGTTGTTTTCCAAAGTATGTAGAATCGCAGTACGGAGCATGTACAGTCGCATTCGTGGTGTGCGGAAACAATATTCACTTCTTTCTTCCAAACAGATGACATCGAGAGGATTAATAATTTAATGAGACTAACATGCAGTAGAAGAAAATGGGTAGAATTGCAGCTCATGGTTTTATTACCAAGTTTTATTTGGCAACAGTTCTGACCATTCCAACCATCATAAAATAAAAAGAACACAATTATGCAAACGTTACGCAGTTAACCGCCTTGTGCGTTTATATCACTGACTTCATTCATCAGAGGCTTGTGATTATTAAACATTTTTCACAGCATTTTATACACAACAATCCAAATTGATATCCATCACTTTTCTTAGCTCTTTAAGATAACAATGATCTCTCCCATTGTTCTTTTATAGGGAACTTCTCCCTACGTAAATACGTAATGAAAAAGCTCGAAAACCATTTGCTTGAGATTTCGTGTCTTGCAGATTTTACTTCAAGATTACTTTGAAGATCCTTCGGGCAATTCTCTTCGATGACAGAAGCTATCTGCTGAGAATTATCATTCAAATGAAATAAATTCCTGTTTGCGACCAAAGTTAAAATCTGCTGATAACGTTCACGATAGAGAAAAGAGGTTAACTATGTTATATGTTAAAAACCTTCTGCACATGTACCCATGGAGCGATTTAGGAGTTCTTCTTTATACGCTAAGTATATTTGCTTCATATTCAGTGTGTACCACAATAGCGTGAGTGCCAAGGAGTTGGGCGGTGAAGTTTGTAGATGAAGTAAGATCCACAGTTTTTCACGGGAATATCTGCAGAGTATTTGCAACCGGTGGAACAATCACTTAAGCAGACCCTCCCGTAAACTTCACCATCTTCCACTGTAGGATGAGCACCATTCAACCAGCCTGGGAAGTCTGCATCACAACTGCCAGCTGACACATGCATTGTTGGCATTTTTGTTCCTGCAGCTCCCACACAACGATACCATCCCTCGGGGAGTAAGTAGTCACACAAAGATGATCCATGTATTGGTGTAACGTAACTGCTCTTTCTATCAGCATCAC